CGACGCCCATCCGCTCCATGTTCCTCTGCAGGCGAGGCGAGGGCAAGGGCAGGGGCGGGGGGCGGGAAAGTGTACATTGGCATTATTACATTTATACATAACCTCCCATGTGTATGTACACTCAAGCACGGACGAATTCCATTGTTATTTATTTATCTAACTACTGGTCTATTTATGTCTGTATATAGGTGTGTGCTTGCGTATGTGTTTTTTTCCCAGCAGTGACGGATCAAGAACAAGAAGGGAGGCAAAACGAAGCTAGAGGGAACCACATTAGATGCTGAATATTGGAGAATTCGGCATGTGGATTTAAACAAGCAAAGCTGAACGCATGCATAGCAGCATAAAAGAAGATGGCAGCAACAACATTAGCATGCAAGACGAGGAACCGCCAAGGCAACCTAGGTCCTTCTGTCGATCCTACAGTATGGCAACAAAATGGATGGGGCAAAAACAGAAGCATATGGTGGGTGGGTTGCTTGGGTTGAACAAGGGTGGGGCGGAGCTACTGGGACCCGGGCGTGGTGTGTGAAATCCCCATAATCCTTAAATATCCCAAGTTTTTCGGACCAGATCGAAAAAAGTGACATCGCCATGTCGCCGGGCTAGATTCATTGCCCGACGGATGACATCACGGTCCTGTTTGTTCATGCCCGATCAGTCCCACGATTACCTGAAAGAACAGTCACGGAGGATTCGATTTTCGCCAAAGATGACTACCCTCCCGTGGCTTTTGCTTTTAAAAGTTGGTTCTTCCGGTGTTCTGTTCTTTTTGAAGTGCCTTCCTATTACATTTATGACCTAATACTCCTATTAGGTCATAAATGAAGAGGTTCTTAATCTTCAAATAATTTTAATTGAGGAAAACTATGACTTCAAAACCCAAAGTGTTTGTTACCTCTCTGGAACTGCCTAAGCATCTCAAGGTCAAAGGTACAAGGCAAACCAAACCACTACGTCGTCAGTCTTGCCTTCCTACAAGGCGCAGATCAAGCTAGTGGCATCAAAGCAAAGGGAAGGAGCTGGAAGTAAACGGGAAATGAAGATGGTTCGCCAGGAATGTGTGGTTACGAAGATAAGCAGGTGAGGATAAAGAGTATGAGAGGAAATCCATGTTACGGGAGATACCCCCTCCCCCCCTCTGTGCAACATGGAATCCGGGGTATAAGAGGGTAAGGGCATGTGGTGAGCAGAGGGGAAGGTCGTGTAGGTCAGAACCCGGAAGGAAGGAGGAGACGGCGAGGAAGGCCAAGAAGGGGGAAATATCTCAATGAAAAAAACAAAACAAAAATAAAGTCAAAAAGAAAGATGGCGTGGGGAGAGGACAACCCACAGCCGTAGATGGAGAATGGAAAACAAAACAAAACGCAGAGAAGGAGAATAAGGTGAGAAAGTAGGGGCCGACGGCAGGTGAGAAGATGGCCAAGTCGCCCGGGAGGGAGGCTCTGGTCTAGACCCGGAAGGAGACCGAGGGCAAGGAGGGGGAGGGGGGGGGGTTGCACTACAGATAAGAATAAAAAAAAGAGACAATGGAGAAAGAGAAGCTGGAGAAGGAGAAGCAATAGACACATGCAAATACGGAAACCTAATACGAATAGAGCAATAAAACGTGACGTTTCGGGATAATTTAGACTCCTCACCGGACGATGAAATCGAAATTGAAGATTTTATCGCCTGATGAAGTGTAGAGTCAGACCCCAAGGTCAAGTTTTATTATTAATTCCTTACTGTAGATATTTGATTTTTTCCTTTTACGCACACGCACGGGTGTGCACATACACACGCACGCACACACATTATATACATAGACACACATGCATACATATGTGTATATGCATACATATATGCATCCGTATATATATATATATATATATATATATATATATATATATATATATATATATATATATACACATACATATATCCACACACACACACACACACACTCACATCATTATATATATGCGCATATATATATATATATATATATATATATATATATATATATATATATATATATATATATGTGTGTGTGTGTGTATGTGTGTGTGTGTGTGTGTGTGTGTGTGTGTGTGTGTGTGTGTGTGTGTGTGTGTGTGTGTGTGTGTGTGTGTGTGTGTGTGTGTGTGTGTGTATACACATATATATGTATATACATAAGTATATATTACTTATATTTATATGTATATATGTGTGCGTATATATATATATATATATATATATATATATATATATATATATATATATATATATATATATATGAATATATCATTTGTATATATAAATATATATAAGCACACACACACACACAACACACACACACACACACACACATATATATATATATATATATATATATTATATATATATATATATATAATATATATATATATATACATTTGTATACGTATATATATATATATATATATATATATATATATATATATATATATAATTGTGTATATATATATCAATATGCAAACACACACACACACACACA